TTAATAGTTTGATAGGGCAAAAACTTTATTCATAAAGAAATAAAATAGCTGATTTATGAATAAGCTATTGTTAATATAATGTAACATTTGTTATTCAGTGGAGTGATAATGTCGCATATGAAGGACTCCCAATTGTGATACAATTTGTTTTACGATAACTTTTTTTTAAATACGTAATCAATATCGAAACATATCATTTAAACAAAATGTAAAATAAACAAAATTATATTGTAAAATGTGAAAACTAGTAATAACTTGACTCTTCATGATAATATCGAGTTAGATACTTTTAAAATCGGTACGGGTAAAGATTAACAATTAAAGATTTTATTACCATATTTTATATAACTAAGATTTGAATGTCGCTTATATCTATAAGATTTGCTTTTTATTAATAAAATGTTACAATGTATGTTGTCGGGTCATCCATTTAAAATACATATATATATACGAATTAAGACGACAAACTAAATGCGAGATATCGATTTAATCTTCAGGAATATTATATACCTAACTTAAAAATTACTGATTATGATTATATTAACTTCAAACAGTTTACTATCATCAAAGATAAGTCTAAAAACTAAATATTCTTATACACACCGGTTATTTGCAAACTAATGCAATTTTAAAACGCATACCTATATTATAGAGATCTGCTAAATTGTCAAGAACATTTCAATATTAATAATGAAAAAATGTGACTGACCTCTGGGTCTATTTTCTTGTACTCAGCGTCGTCGTCATCCACCTCGAAGTACAGCTCTGTGGATGTGAGTGACACCGTGCCTGGCGCCACCAGCCCCGGCGCCACCAGACGAGCCTTCGTGCTGATATTTACTGGACCTGGTCGACAATGGATGCCTCAACTAAAACTATAACTTGTACGAATTGACACATCACCTGAGGGTTTATTCTATTTACCCTCGAATGAAAATTTGGCAATTTTTGAATCGTTCTTCTAATTTTGATAAAACCATATCCGTGAAGGTTATGTGTGCATTAGAGACAGTGTGCCACGTCCTACTTCCGTTTCATCGTATATAATCGAGAAATGCTTCTCTTAGGAGTCGAATTAGAATTACAAATATAAATGATATTCCGTTTTCAGTGAAATAGAACTGGCCTTCCGAGCAGTAGGTCCTACATACACTAGCTTGAGACGCTACCAAGATTTGGTCTAAATAGTAAATAACTGACGACCATTAAATCGAATTAAGCTCTAATGTTGAAATAGTTAATATTGCTGTGTGAAGCTTTGAGCCTGGAATAGATTTTGCTTGACAAAGGTATGAATATTTTACTACCTAATTTATTGATAAATTTCTTGAATACTTACTACATTATTTATTTGTCTTAAAAATTAATAAAAAAACTTATTTCAGATATTTCAGGATTATATACACCAATAAATGTATAGATATTTATTCCTAGTGATTTCATGGTAAATGTTGATCAGCAAAGTCCCGAGTTGTCACATTGCTCTAAACAATTCAGAAGGTGTTTTGGGGACAGTTTCTGTGACTAGCACGAACATTACACTGATCAATATCCTTTTATTATTTCCTATCTGAAAAACAATAAATTTGATTTAATAGGGTGTCACTTAAAGTTACTTTACAAGTTTAACAGTTCAACAGTGTTTATATCATTGTTAGTATAAAAAAGCTGGATACAAGCTCAATAAGGAATTAACATTAATGAATATTGTAGGTGAGTAAGCTTTATTTTTTGACATGTGTTTTTATTTAAACTAAGATTGTACTTTCTTGTTTTTAAATTTAATTTACTTATAATGAGGTAGTACGTAATAGTATGTGTAATAGTAGGTATATTTCAAAAATTAAAGTACTAAAATAGATGTCACTAGATGGCGATACTATGTTCGACTTCTTGTTATTCATCACGACTGATGATCGTGATTAGTAGTCGTTTTTCATGCTTGAATGCATTTCCTCATTTATTTCCGCGGAATTTGTGAGAAGTTTTCGAAATCCCTTGTGTTCAATATCCCTGATAACGACTAAGGGCCAGTTCACCATTTGTTAACTTGACTATAGTTAAAACATTAAGTTGTTAACCCGCTATTTCGTTTTTTGATGCCAAATTAAAACATAGCCAAACTTAACCATTGCTTAATTTGTTGCCAGCACAATGAGACGTTCTTTCGCTATACATTGACATGGGTAATTTTTTTTCTGGGTGACATCACTAACGGTTTGAATGAACGGAGCGAACTATATACCATTTTTGACATATGGATATTGTTCCAAATATCAAATAGACAAAAGAAATCTATAGATTACCAACCAGTGTGGATGTTTATGGTTGTTCTGTTGTGTGCACTATGTGTTATTTTTCAGGAAATATAAGGCAATTTCTTTAATAATGTTAGAAAGCAACAAAAACGATTTTTTTCGAGTTATTTTAAAATTAACTTTTTTATAAAAAGCATATATTTGTTATTTATTTATCTTATAGAGAAATACGTAAAAAGAATATAGTATCTAATATCCAAGGTGGGATTGTAATGTTGGATAATAAATCAAGGAATATGTAAATCTTAAGTAAATCAGGATAAAACAAAACGCGATAATGCAAACCAATGTTTCTATAATGATGGTAACTTCCCCATATTAGGGAACTATAAGTGTAAGACGGAAATAAAAAAAGAGGATGAAAAGGCTTCAAAGAAATTTTGCCTAAATTAAGGATTTACTGTATTAGCCACACGTCAACGTCATCAGTATTACACTGTTTTTTAAATAAATATTTAGGCGCGAATTCGAGATACTTTAAAATATCAATATAGGCAATACTACTATTAAAAACAAAAATAATGTTTAATATAATAAATAATGTTCTGTTTTGTTTATGAATGAATTAAAAGCATAAAGTACTAGTGTAGTAGTAGTGCTAAACAAAATCATAAAGCAACTAAGTACCTTCACTTCGACCTTTTTATCTTTTTTTCCACACTGGAAACGTCGAACAATTTTAATTTACAATGACAGTTATTGAACAATCAATAATAATGTGTAAAGTGTCGGATAAATATAAGAGATCGTGACATGGATGGAGATGATGCACACAACCTTACCACCCTACAACTTACCACGATGGGAGACAGCATCAGCAATCGGAGAGTGCCAAGTAAGTTAAAAATATCATGATGTCATAGCAAATCAGGCCAGCCGTTCTCGAGTTTTAGCGAGATAAATGAACAACAATATATTTTTATACATATAAGAAAACTTGTGTATTCCTAATAATAATGCGGAATTCCTAATAAAAAGTTATATTAATTATTAATATAATCATATGCGAAATGTAATACATAATTAATATAAAAAGTTTAAAGTAACTAAACGCTGTTTGACAGGATTAAAACTAAATTTAGTTTTGTTTGTGTTATAGAACTACCAATATTCATCTAATTTAACTGCTGATTGACAGTTTTGTGAAACGGGACTATGGTATGATCCAAATGTAGACCCATAAGTCAAAAAGTAAATACAAAAGTTATTTTTACCACGAAATTATTTGAATTTTTTATTTCTACTCTATAATTAGTGAAATAATAAGTATTATTGTGTCTTGGTAGCGACCGTTTTAACTATTTATATTTTACGTATGTTAATTATTTCTATTTTGTTATAAATAATTTATTCGTTCAATTTATTGAAATTGATTAACCTATTTTATCGATTTTTTTACCAACTTGACAACTCTGTTTTTTTTTATTTTATTTTTATCGACGCTGAGAAATGCGTTAGGCATACCTGCTTTACCATGCGCGAGCTCCACGGGTTATGTGGGACTCTCCCCTGCGGAGCAACCCCCAGAGTGGGGGCTGATCAAAGAGTATCCGGTGAATTTTCAAGTAGCCAATAAACACCGCCGATGCTGACCTCTTCCCGCACCATAAATAGGTGAGATGTATTTGTACCAAGAATGAGCCGATGCGCTCTCCAGTCTACTCCATGATAAATACTGATTACTGGAACTACCATCACTTAAAGGAGGTCCGTGAGAGAAGGGCCTTACAGTAAGTAAAGGAATAATAATGATATTCTTTGCATGTAACCGGGGCCATTCTGATGCGAAGCGGTACAGTAGGAGGTTTACTGGGTATGCCCACTGTATTTTAAATAGTCCGCATGACTGAGGAACAGAGTGACAGACAACCCAAACTACACTCTTACTACTAAAAAAGGAGACTTGGGGAGCATTCTCACCGGTAAGGTCAGCGTCGAGGTCTCGATCATCGAGCAGTAGGTCCGCGTCATCGATGAGGTCAGCGGCGGCGGGCGTGGGCGGGGGTGCGCCGCGGGCAGGTGCCGGTGGAGCGGCGCAGATGCGGGCGTGCAGCTCCTCCGTGGCGTGCAAGATTGCGTCGTGCGGAGGTGGCGGCGGCGCGCGCACGTCCACCACTCCACCCACTGCAGCGCCACGTGCGCGCGCGTCCGGTACCAGACGTCGGCGTCGCCGCGCGTCGTCCTCCCACGAGTCCAGTTTCCAGTACTGAGTGTTACTCCTGCAGACGTCCATATTGGTACAGTAAGTTCCAACTGACATACCCTATAGTCTAATTATAATTTTGTTTGCCCAGTACAGATCTAGCAATGATGATGATGACTGAACGTCTCTTAACTGAAATTTAATGTGTATAATACAACGTATAATGACCATTATGTTAATGCAATAGAATTGAAAAATCTGAACTAGAAGCGAGGCCTCCTTTATTTTTTACGATTTTTACGTATCGGGTCTTAGTGTTGTGTAACTTTTGTTGATTCAGATTACCACAATACACGTGCTTTAACTAGATACTTAATTTGGAATTTGTATAAAAAAGTAAGTAGAATATGTATAGTTCCACTAATTTATGATATGGTTATAGGTGTGCATGTGTGCATGCATGGGCGGAGTGCTTGAGCTTTTTAAATGATCTGACGACAACCATAGAGCTACTAGTACAACTAGTATATGTATATACATTACCCAGGATGTGGATGTGCATGCGTGGCGGCGTGCTTGAGCTTATCGAGTAGTCTGGCGGCGGCGGCGGCGTCTCGTCGCCTGGCTGCCGCGATCAATCGCTCACACGTGCGCTCCTCTTCCAGACGTTCCGCGCTTGTCGTCGCGCAAAGACACTGACCAATTATATACGATAAGATTAGACTTAAAATATGTGAAATATATTAACCGTGTCTATCAGTATGTGATCAGTAATATAATATTACGAAACGATAGACCAATAAAGTATACAATAAATGCTAAGATATTTTAGACTCACGTCTCTCTCATCAGTACTAGTTCAAACAATTGTTTCTCGTTCCATCTATTATACAAAGTGTTACATTCATCGAGTTGGCAATAAGTAGTTTGATGAACATTAACATAAAATAGAAGTCCTAAGTAAAAACCCTGTGGTACTCTAGTAGTTACCAAGATGAATAGTTTAAACATTTAAAAAAAAGAGTGACTTTATTAAACGCATTTACATAAACATAAAAGTGGTACATAAATATTTCTTTAATAAAGAAAATTCTTTCAATTAAATTTTACACGCACATGTTAATCACAACTTTTACAGAAAAAACCAACCTCAAAGTCAGCATGTTTCAGTACATCGTCGGCCCTCATTCTGTTTAGTATGAATTCTGCCTCATTGGCCACCCTCACTATGTGGTCACGCATCGCGTGCGATAGCAGTCTACCCTCGTTGATCAACTCTATGAACGCGAGACCCGCGTGTTTTTGCAATGAGTTCTGCCACTCTTGCGAGCAGAGAAGCATCACCAGTTCCACCACTGACGTGCTCGATTTGAAGGTTTGGAGACCTTGAGGAGTAACAAATAATGATCATTTTGTTTAAATTTTATCAACACTAAACTTTCAACTAAAAACTTTTACAAGCAGATTTTTATTTCATGACAAAGAAAGAAGTTTTCAAATTCAAATGGCACATAAAATTTAACATGCAAAAATAATAAGATTATCCAAAGCCTGTTGAAGATTGTCAAGCTGGTTAATTGTATAAAACTAGTTAAAAGTAGGATATGATGGAAATAAAAAATCAAAGCATTAGAAGTACACATTGAGTACAAAATCTACGGGCAACTCAGCGCAGGCAGTCAGCGCTAACTTACGAGAGTGTAATCAGCGCAGAATAAGCTACAAAAAGAATACCATTGGGACGTATCGATCAACCATGCCTAGAACCGTATACCTTTACCCTCCATCAACAGTTCCTGTCCGTGGCTTCCGACGAGTGTCTTGGAGAGGAATGGCGCGAAGTCCAACATGATCTCCCTCAGAAGTGGACAGACTGGACCAAGTGCGGTCTCCAGTTTGTGAGTCAACGACGCTTCTCTAGAAGCGCCATCACTGGCTATAGACGTCATTGCACTGAGACCAGCTAAGGTTTCGCTGTCCTAAAAAAACATGAACATTTTCAAGTACACACCTGTCGCTTAGTTCTCCGCTAAAAATAATCAACACATTTGTCTTACGAAGTTTCAAGTAGAATTTTATAAATGTCTATATTATCACACCTGATCCAGTGCGAGGTAAAGAAGACCGATCAAGAATAAGACTAGATACATACAATTAAAATAGCTAATGGTATAAATTCTCTTCAGCCATAATTATATTTATAAGTTTATATTGCTAAAAACGTTGAATCAAATTAACTGCTACTATTTTATCAAAATGAACACTATTAGTAAAATTCTGGAGTTGTCCTGATTGACTTCTCCGACATTTATCGCCTATATTCAGAGTTATTAAAAATTAAGCGTTTAAGCAACATGACATTAAAATTAACGTTACTGAATTGTTCTTCTGAAAATAGATATACAAAAACATTTTTAAATACAAAAAATTGATGATTTCGATTATAGCAAGTAAAAAAACTCTGTAGCTATAAACGACTTTTCTTATGGTATGCTATATTGCTGGTATGCTATATTGTTGGTATGCTATATTCTGTAATATAGTTTATCAAGTATCCAAACTCTTGATGCTAATATTTAACGTTGTTAGCCTAATCAAAACATACAAATATTAACTTACTGGGTGTAAATGTCTTTGAGCAGGTTGGAGATTCCGGTTCTGATGCCTCTGTTGTAGATGGTGGTGTTGCTCAGAGTTCCTCATGTGAATTTGTTTGTCTATATCTAAACAACATAAAGAAGGTAATATATTATTAGATTGTTAGCGCGGAAGAAAACATATTGCACATTTTATACACGTGATTTATTTTGATTTATTAAAAGTTACACAACGAATACAAACATAGAGGACCATAAATATATAATCTGTACGTGAACGTTTAATTGATTAATCTCTGTAAAATGTTTATCTCTAATGTACGTCCACTGTACAATATTCTATATGTAGTTACCTTCACTAATATTGCCTTCGTGATCTCTGCTTCTGCCTGTGATAGTGGCTGGACCGCGTTCACCGTCCTCGTTCAGGTTCACGTCAGTCCAGGATTCATCATTGCTCACCTGATAAATATAAACCAGTTGAGAGGTCAAACGTGACAATAACGTGACAGTGCCAATCTGTTGGAATACTCGTCGAGCGTAGCACAGAATTGTGTATTAGTAAATACTCGAGGGTTAGTATGCTCGACCGAAGGTCAAATGAACATCCATCGAGTGTGCAAGGTTAAATGTCTTTAATATTAGGGGTTAAAGTATGAACTTGCCGTTTTATTGTAATAGGTTCCTTGATGTGACATGATTTGGACAATTATCTACGTGACAAGAAGTTTTCTTCGCAGGAGGTACTACAAAATACTTTCACAAAGTTTGTGCATTCTTGATCCTCAGAGTTCTATCGCAAAGGCTTAAAAGATCTTCCTATTAGATGGCAGCAATATATAGATAATAATAGTAACTATAATGATTAAATAAATTTGTTAATAATTTAAAAATAAACAATTTTGATTTTCGGTACAAATCGGCAATTTCATACTTTAACCCCTATTATATTTGTCAATTGAACATTCATCAATAGTATACTTTTAAAACCATTTTAAACCATGCAAGTAAAACTAACCGGATGTTTGTTGTCATCCATGGCGATCTCGCTGGACGTCTCCGGGTCGTTATTTGTGGTCTCCGTAGAGTTCAGGTGGAAGGAACCAGCGTCCTCGATAGAATCCACGCTCTATACAAGCATGTGAATACGAGAACCATAAGATAAATACGTTATATCATATCAAATAAAATCGTCATTAGTTTCTCATAATTTTATTCAACAATTTATAATTATCATTTAACTGAAAACAATTGAAGTATTTCGGTCACTTTTCAACATTTTAGAATTATTCAAATTTCAAACAAATATTTTAATTCAGAAAAATCAGTCATCAACTTACCTCAAATCAAAATAAATATATAATTCTACCAAACCTATTACAAAATTTGATTCAATGTGTGATAGTAGACGTGTTTCAACGTGCAGATATCAAGGTGAAGGGGTGAAAGAAGCAAGCAAAGCAACACAACATGCAAAATTAGACCTTACCTTATATCCATTAAAGTAACTATTTAGCCTTTTGGAATACACCATGGTTTTTCTTATTATAAGTTTCTAAACAACCTATGTTACAGTCGCTAATATATATACCCTATATACATATATATAAATATACATACATACTCGTATTTAAGCAAACTTCGAGAGAATAAGTAGGTATAATTTATTATATAGAATGTACTTTTTCAATTAGAAACGTCGATAAAATTTTGTAATTGATATTTTATAATAAATACAAAAAAGTCAGTAATGCAAATTTACATCAGTAGCGTTGTGAACTATTTAACATTACATACCTATTAGGCTAAATAATAATAGCGTTTAATGGAATTGAAATTTTATATTTGTAATTTTTCAACAATTTGAATGTATAATAAAATCTTGTAACGGTGAAAAGAGATCCAAAACATTTCTTTTTTGTTTGAGGATTTTATTAAGATCTTTTAAATTCTTATAATTGCTTCAATCTTTATTGTTTGCATTGTACATTTTTCGTTATAAATATGCGTTATAATAAATAATGTTATTTGAGCCTAGGTGAGAAAGACTGATATATGTATTGTGCTAGAGTGCATCTTTGTATGTACATTATGTGAATGTATGCAACAACCTAAACGAATGTACGGTTCAGTAAACACTTTGGTACTCTGTGACAAGTGTGTGTATTTAATATTGTGGACAATCACGTTGACAATCAATCGGAGATCCGTATAACTTGTGAACTGTACAATATAATGAATTAAATATTAAATACAGATCATGATTTTTACTACTTTTAACCATACCCGATTATAATAATATAGATAGTATCTATAAGGAAGTTGACTTATTTTTTTAATTCTTTTTGACTCATAACTAATACCTGTCACAATCAACAATCATGCTGCAATCCTTTTATATTGTTCTTTAAGGTCAAGTATCACGTCTCATTTAAGAGGTGACACTGATCGAATTATTAAGATTCTGACAGTAGAAATTATCATATTTTTTAACAATAATAGAAATTATCATATCCATAAAGTTTGCACTTAAGATTCAATATTGTTAATGTATTAAGCTGTGGATTTATATTCTTTTGGAGAAACGAAAAAATACTTAAATTTATCCAAAGTTCTTAAAAGTTCTACCTTTATTTGAAATTGATTAAAATATTATTATTAATCGGTCCTTTTGCGATAAAAGTCAAAATATTTTTTAACCGCCATGGCTCAAATTTCAATCGCCCGTTTTTGTCACATAATAAGCAACATTATTCTACTTAATAATGGCTAAAAATTACTTTTATTTTCTAGTTCACAATGTAAAACGCGTCTCCGAAGGATCGCATGTTAACAATCAAAGGAATCTGTCAATAATTACTTGTTTACAAACCAAATCGACCACAGACACCGTCACCCCGGACAAGGTTTTCGACCTTGGCAGTGGTTGCTTTCAACAGGAAAACACAGGTTTAATACAAAGGAAATCCAATCACCAACAAAACCATAATGCACCTAACTTCAACAAACTAGTTCTGTTCATAGTTTTATATCAAGAAAATGCAAAACTAGAAGTCAAAATCCATAAATAAATATGGCTGCTTCTAATATTGGGTATACACCTCTCATTTTAATAAAAACTTTTATTATTTATAACAACCCGTATTAAAGTATATTATTATTCCAAAAATAATTATAAATTGTCACTAAATAATTATTCTCACCTCCTGATCCTACATATCTAAGGCCATATTCTCAAACAAACTCACAACACTAAGGAAACCGGTAAAATCGGGAAAAGACAAATGCTAATAGAGAGAGCGAGGGAGACAGCCGGTTCCCACACCAACTGACCTTGGGTTTTGATTTGATGCGGAGACTTGACTTGTATAGTGGTTCCTCTATCTCTGGCGCGGGACTCTCCTGTTTCTCTTCCTTCTTCTCTTGCACGGGTTTGAGTTCATCTGTCGTCGTCTCAATTTTCGCGACTCCCTCTTCTTTATCACCCTCCTTAATAATTTTATCGCAACGGAAAAAAACGAATCTTAAGAAGCTTACAACCACGTTACTTCATTCAAACAGGCGACATCGAATAAAACAATTTTACGTAGCAACACAAACCAGTGAACACATTTTATGGGAAATGACATCGAATTATTTTATCACTATTATTGGGGTATGACATGCTATACACTACTGATAATAATAGAACTCCTTAAAACTATATTTATGATGATCTAAACTACTTTTTCCAAGTAAAAAATACTTTACCTAGTTTGGACGAGTCAACATGCCATGACGAATATCAGGCATTGGAATTTTTATGTGTTACTAATTAGAAATTGGAAGAAAAATAAATAGAAAATTACTTTGACCAAAACTGTACATAGAGAATAATTCTTATTCAAGCAGGATAATACATATTTCACTAAAATAAAATAGACTTTTTTATTACACAAAGATGGGATATAGTCAATTGATTTTAACGCGTGTTTGAATCCTCATATGATAATTTTGAAACTTAAACTTATCACTTTATGTACAGCCTTATATGGAACACATATCTAACTATTTATGTAAAAAGGATAATCAATAAAGCTATAACATGAAAAGTATCTAACAGACTTACATGCCTCCCAACATTTTCAATATATCCTTTGATAAAAAAAAACAAACAATACAAATAAACAATCATTTACCTTCATGGATGGTGAATCCAAATCGTTAATAGTAGAATTATTCTCGTCGACGACGATCATCGCGTACTCGACGTCATCACCGTTGTGCTCTAAATAAAATACACACAATATCAGTATACACGATAATAATATTGTTGAAATCTCAACAACACCGACGAAGCTTGCTTTAACAAAGCAGGTAGGTAGTTTGAGGTAAATGGATATTAATTTCTAAAGAGCAGGTCTAGTAAATACCTACCTATTTGTAATTTCGCAATTCTTTATTTCGTGCACTCCTAAAGACAAAATAGTGTTTAGGAACCCAATAAGAGGTTTGTAGTAAATTCTATGATGAAAGTACCAAGACTGACTTCAAGATTGAATTAAGAAAATATGATGACAGTTAATGTTAATGGATTTTACAATAGAAATTCTTCCCTTTTAAAATACACAGATTTTAGAATTTTATTTCAATGTATGTATTTAACGAATTATAGTAAAATTTGCCAATTAATTTGTAATATTTCTTATTCATGCATTTTTCCACTATGAGGTCCATCTAATTATGTTGCAAATCATAACAAAAATAAACTAAATTCAAGCGGTGCCTTAGCAGTGCATATTTATAAACACTGTTTTGTCTACCTTGTTCATTATTTAATTCATTCCTACATTATTCTAATGATGTGATAACCGGGCCAACTTTTGTTATCTAGGCTTACGTCAGTATCTTTAATTTATGGTTTCTTAATATCCATAGAATTTATACAAAAGAAGTCGTATGCTTATGACGTAACGTGTGTGTGTAATGTTTTGTGTATATCACGAAAAAGACAAAACAGTGTGCACGAAACATCGACCACGTAAAAATCCGACATTCGCATCACAGATATCAATTTGAACACATGAAGATAATTTGGATCTAAGAAAAGCGTGTAAGCAAGTAAAGCTTGACGATTTGGTGTAAGATCTTCTTGCGTTCATTTAATATATTTGACTGATATTTTAAGTATTTTTTTTTATTCGTATCTTGGAATACGAATGCCGTTAAAAGCTTTCTGCAAGATATTATTTATTTAGTCCTAAGTAACATTTTAAGATCTCGCATTAAACTTTTTTTAATAGCTGAAACTGCTGATATCCCGGTAATAGTAAGTTATTTATAAACATTACAAATTATCTCGATTATTAGCTAAAAAAGAATAGATCGAGGTCATTCATTACCAGGATATCAGCATCTAGCAGGTGGTCGCGTTACCTGCGTGAGCGCGGTGGTAGTTAGCGATGCGTGTGTGCGCGTGCGTGTTATTGTTAACGTGTTGGCTGCAGTCGAGCTTGCAGTGTGTGTGTGGGTGGCGGTGAGCCGGATGCCCACCAGGCAGGAACTGGGGATACACGTGATGCGACCACTGGGGGAACAGGGGACGGCTGCCTGTAGCCGCCAATGGAAGAAAATGGATGTGCGGGAGGGGATTACAGGTATCAGATGAAATAAATAGAGAAAGGGTAAAGAAATTTGCGTTTGAGATTGAAAGAATAGAAATACAAAAGTGAAAGATATGCAGGTCGCAAAAATAAAAAAAACCAGCAGTAGCAAAAATAAAAAAATTATGTAATGGTATTAGAAGTATTGACCAGTTTATATATATTTATACCATAAATTAAAGATGACATTTGAAAAAACATCATTCAAAAATAGAAAAAGAAACAAAATTATATCAAAGTATGAAACACAAAAAGGATAAGGTACAACAGTGATTACGTCAAAGAGTAAAAAAATTCGATTGTCCGATGTTTCATAAAAAATGCGATCGAATAAACGAATTATTGAATACGAACGTTACGTGCCGGCAGTGATATTATAATGTTGACGATTTTACCAGTGTCCCAAATCGTGACGCATATCAAGCGGCGTGAAAAAGGAGAAACGACACACTTCAGATATACAGTATATCAGTAACCTTCGGTGTACCGCCGCCGTCAAATATTATGATCTAAATGGCAACAAGACGAGTTCAAATGATATTCGCATGCTTTTAGTCTAAACACACTCTTCAAGATGAAACAGAATTATCAAATACATTATCACAGAAACGGAGGTGATGGAGTGATGAGAAAAATTAAGTTTCCATAATCGATCTGATATTTCTGATACATGGTAGTTTTTTTTTTATCAAAAATATATTAATAAAAACACTTGACCGCGACTGTACTGGATGGTAATTATTGTTTTATGATAACAAAATTAATAACACATTACATAGACCGATACTTTAAGTGGATATGTCTTATATCGAGTGCATTAAAGCATAATAAAAGAAGCATTAATATTTATATTTACAGATAAATTAAAAACTAACAAAACAAACCTCATTGATATAGATTTGTATAAAAATAAAATCAGACATAAAAAATCGTCAAATTATTTTCGAATAGTTGTAATAAATTGACTACATAAACAGATGTGAATAACAGTCGTGTGACAATCTAAGTATCGAAAATAATAAAATATAGTCTACGAGTCAATGGTTCACAAAACTTCTATTAATAAAATATGTTAAATTAATATGACCAGTGATAAATAATACGAAATAGTGTCAATTCTAATAATAAAAATAAATACTAAATGTAATAACAAAACCACACCATCGAGCATCATTCATTCATTCGATTACGGATCTAGTCAAACCACTACTTTGAATGAATCTTTAGATGTCCAATTGAAATTCGATAAACTTAAAAAACTGCCACTCTAAGTATATTGGTTATAATTATTATCAATAGGAGACGATATTTGATAGAGCATTAGAATATTAACCCTTATTTTGTCAAAACAGAAATAACGAGGAGGCATCTGTAGTGACCTATGGATTCACAACGACTTGTACGAAAGATGTAGTTAACGCGAACTGATTTTTAAAATATGCATTCTGCTCATGTAAATATTGTTGTAATTCATGTTGTAGTACCATCGGAACTTGAAGTGTGTCATTTTTGGTATCAATTAAAACAATTTCGAAGTATAACAGCGAACAATACTTGTAGTCATTTCTTGATCTAAGTCAATTAACGTACTCCACATGTTCCGTCAAAAATTATTTTCTGTTAGGCTGGCCCCCGTCCGTCACACAATGACAATTCATCGATTCATGAACGGTGATTGGTCTATGCTAATTATATTTGTCAGTGTTTATTATACTTTTTACTATATGTGTAAAATTTTCATTTATTATTTTATTTTAGAAAATAGCATAGAACTCATGGCGTTTTATTTTAACATTTGTTATAATATACATTAATGAAATTAATTCATTGTTCAGAGGACGTACCGTGGTGGTCATGCGGGTGTTGAACGCGGCGCGCGCAGTCGGGAGGCGCGTGCGCAGGCGGCTCCAGGATGTCGCGGTATTTGGACACCATCAGCACAGATATGAAGTACACGATAGCCAGTGATAAGAACTGGGCTTGTTTCGTCTCCTCCTAACAAATAACGGACAAGGAACACATGACACTTTTAATATTACTATTCAGGTTAATTCAACTACTATTCTGAATGAGTCGGCGATTAATAGCCGTTTCTGAATCGCGTCCTGTTAATACAGGAATCACGATTAGAATTCTATACGACACGTGCTTTCAGAAAATTTTCTAGTAAGTGTATGACGATAAGTACAGTCAATAGCACATGAGGTTATCCAAAACAGATAATTTTCTGTAATGAGTACGTTATAAAAATAAATAAAGTGTAATACTCACAACGTCTCTATAAATCACAGCTCGAAGCCTATTTACGTCCATATCTTGAAGTAACCTCTCGGGGTCTTTGACAGGACTCGAAGCATCTGCGAGACTCGCCACCACACTCTTTTGTGAATGGCAAAAAGATAAAATATTAAACCAAAAAATCCAATTAATTAAACCACATTTTACCAGGCCACCATAAAAATAAAGACATTCCTATACCCCCATCTCTACGAGATGTGGTAATAAAAATGACCACAATGTAGAAAGAAGGAATTCTGACTGGGTATTATTTTTCTATATAACGGTTTATTGAATAAATCAAATGTTTTAGTAGTAATTATTACTAGTAGTATAATACTAGGAGAATATAAGTCAATAGAAGTTAATTAAAATATATTTTAAGCGCAAAGTGAATTCCAAGTTGTATAGAAACAAGTCAGTAGTATTTTATATAAGCGGTAGTTAGTTAATGGCAATTACACACTAAACTATTATATTAACGTTTGTTAAATATTACAGATATACAGTGAAAATATAATATCTACATAAAATAACATACATTTGCTACTAGATATGTTTGAGGCATACATAACATAAACAGTGCGCTTATATTGACAGTAATTGTGTCTTATGACAATGTTATAAAGATGGATAGAAAAATTACATAGAACCGCGCATTGGTTTGATTTTAACAGTTGACATGCACAATCAAAGGAAGAGTTACAACAAACTGCGTGTGCTGTGATTAATTATTTTAATAGGTGAGCAATGCAGGGTGACATTTATTACTCTTTCAATTTTAATCATTTTAGCTTGAAATAACCGAATCAAACCGTCACACCTTTATGTGTGGATGAATAAGTAACAAATAAAATGAATCAAGATCTCCGAAAGTGATATTAAATCAATTAGCGTGATCTGTGTACCAGGACATCACGAACGCGTGCGAGTAAGCAAACGGTATTAAAAGACGGCGTGAAATGGACGACATAACACGGGGTGCCTTAAGGATATTTAAGATTTGAGTGAAAGAAAGGGAAATATATATTCAACAGTTTCGACTGCGACCATTTGCACTAAAAAGGATTTGTTTAGTATTTAATAATTACTATTCACGTGGAGCTAAATAAAAAATGGAATCAGACTTTTTGCTTTTAACTGATTGATAATTTTTTTATTATCTCACTATCGCTCTTTTTCGTAAAAAAATCTTATATTAGCATGCTGGGGAAAAAAGATAGAACAATGCTATTTGCACCTTGTTAAAAGTGATGCACCCATGCAAATATTTGACATTCTTGCATAATTACAATGAATTACACAATTTTAAACATTACTTATATTGAAAAAATTTGATTGTGAATAGGTAAACTCCTTATAACGCTAGTCATGTACATCTCTTTTTTATCGTGTCTTGTTTGTTAATATCTTGTTTTTTAATTAGGAAAAACGAGTTAAAATTATTTAGATTAATTTAAATAAATAAATTTCCATAATACTGTCTTTATATCCCCCGGATTTACAGAAACAACAAAGGTCGCGAGTCGAAACCTCACGTGAACGTGACCGTGAACCTTATGGCTGTGGTCAGAGAGCATAGTTTACCTTGGGGTCGGGCTCGTCGCTGGAGCGGGCGGCGCGCGCGGCGGCGTAGCGCTGTCGCTCCTTGCACTCGAGACAATTGCGCACCGCACACGTGCACACCTACGCACACGCACACGCACACTCTAGCTAGCTATACTACGCACTACTAGAACACCGAACTTCGAATATCGACATGTTATTTTTGCGTTACCGAGCAACGATCTTTTCTCATCTGTTTTGTGTATAAAACTTTTTTAAAACACGATTACATCGGTCGACTTCTTTCGGACTTATGCTATACTTGTACCAGTAAGAATTAATGAAAAATATCTATCCATTGCTGATAAAAAAACGAAGCTTTCCAAAGGATAATAAACTAGGTACACTCGATAAAATAAATTCGAAGTTTGGAATTCTTAAAATAAGAAGTTTACTATTGACGATAAGAGAAGTATTTACCGAGAAAATTGTATCTACAGTAAGTTATTCTATAGTTCACACTATTCACGTAAACTATGGCTTGACTATATTTATAGATAGAAGTAAAACTTATCTCACTAGGCATCCAAGAAGTTAAAGAAGTTCTGAAATATTACAAGTCCTCTACACCTTCAATTAAGTATAGAGATCTAAATTAATGAAAAGATTAACCGCAAAATTGATAAATACACATATACCAAACTAAAAAATATAATCTGAACACAAGTTTAAAGATTTTGTGGAATAATAACATGATCACCCGATGTAATTTCTCACAACTATGTGACTACAAAAACTAAACTATGATATTTGTGTATACTAAGTCTAATGATAAATTATGTAACAGAATAATTTGTATTCTAGATTCATATAATATTCAAAATTAACATTTATGTATATATTATAATCATGTAGTTATCCACAAAGTCTATAAAAAACAACACTAACCAACACTGGCAATTCTGGTGCCGACAATCTTTTTAACATTTTCGCTACATCACACTTACCAGTCTGAGACACTGCCTCAGTATTCCACCGCTGGACATATTTTTCTCAGCTTCCAATTCAGCGAAGTTCAGGGCACTAGCGAATATAAGGACGTCCGCCATACTGACTAGCCTTTGTAGAAAAGTAACTGCCACTTCTACCGGCATGCCTTGAGTCGGTTCTATTACATCGAGTTCATTCTGAGAAAATACATTTTATTTATTTTCACGTGGGACAGAGATTAGATGAAAATTTAATAAAAAAAAAAAACATTATTTTAGTATATTCGCTGATATATGATAAACTCCATGAACATAATAATTTGAAGCTAAATTCTTGTGTGTATATATATATTTTTTATTTAGTTTAATGTAATATTAGGATAAGACAATATCTTTATTAATATAACGACTTACCAGGTTAGCATAATCTAATATGACTTACATTGGGTGAAGTCGCAGAAGCCAACAAGGGCAAGAGACCGCCGCATGCGATGATTAGATTGTCGGCAAGTTGGCTTATGAGGTGTACAGTGTTCACAACAAAAATTGCATTCTCGCTGCTGTTCACGAAATCTATTACTGATTTCGTAGAGTGACTACGCCACACCTGTAAAGTAGATGCAATAATGATCGGAATATGTTAAAAAATTAACAGAGATTTCAATTCTCTTTAAATCAACCTATTTAAAAAAATTAACAATAACATCAAAAAAAAAATACTGACCTGTATGTCCGTTTCTAGTGAGAACAAAACGTCTGATAATAGTCTTTGGTGTATATAAGACCATCGGAATTCCGGTATCCGGAATGGCGGACGTGTCGGACCCGGCGAGAACATTGCTCGAGAACACTTCGACGGTCGTTTTGTTTCTGGAAGACAATATGAACAGTTATTATTGAAAAGGTGTCATATCTATTACTATTTGTAAAATTACGGAATATAAATTACGAATGAGAAATCATATAAATAAAATATAGTACAGTCTGTACTGTTAGCTAGCAATAGTCTTCTGAGAGAGAATACATTAAGCAATCGTGCACTATAACACGTGCAAAAGGATTAAATTTTGGTTTATTAGAAGGTTAAAAGATAAAATGTCTGTTTTGTAATTAAATATTAATTTTGCCTAACAAGTATCATATTTGTGCGTTTACCAAAATGGTTAGAGTCCACTTGCGTGCTGGTGGAGGCGCTTCTGGGCCTCTTCGGTGATGCGTTGGTGTTGGTCCCCTGCGTAGCGACGCCCTCGCTCCTAGTGCCATCCTGCTTCATTTCACCATCGCCGGGGAGACTCACGCGCCGTTTGTCTCGCTCGTTATCCCTGCTCCGGTCATCGACGGGCCGTTCAGTTTCGTTCGCCAGCGAGATGTTCTCGCTGATGGTCGCAATAGGTGGAATCTCCGGTATTTTTGGTTCATCTCGGTTTGGGGCGCCTTCTATTTTTGTCGCATTCTTCGCGTTCCCGTCGGCGATTTCATCGGTCTGTGTCGATTCAAGCTCGGCAACTGCATCGTCTCTCGGATCGACCAGAAATTCGCCGTCGAGAGGGAGAACGTTGCCCTCGTGCGTGTGATCTGACGGCAGCACCCTCTGCCCACTATCTTCCTGCTCATTTTTAATGGCTTCGCAATCTTTCTTTTCTTCCTCTTCGTTTATCAATATGACGTCTGCGACTATCTCATCTTTCGAGACGACGTCCGTGACTATCTCGTTGGGCGAGATGACTTTCGTGACTATTTCGTTCAAAATTTCGCTGGCGACTAATTCAGCAGCTTGTTTCTCGGTAATCACTTCCTCTACTTCCTGCTCGAGATCGTCGCGGCCGTTTGGCGTGTCGCCCTCGGAATGTAAAAAGCCAGATATCGCTCCGGAGTCGGGGTCGTCGTCGGTCTTCGCACGGACGGTTTCCAACGCGACTGCGAGCACGTCGTTAACGATGTCGAGGGCTAAATCCTCGGGATCAGGGCGCGGCCGGGGGCGGGGACTGGCAGGTTCGCTGGGAGTCAGGTACAAGTCGGAGGGGTCAGACAGCTCGGCCTCGCGCTCTGCTACGTTCGTCTCCGCGTTCCGCTCAGGACTAGCGGTCTCGCTGGCAGACAGACTTGAAGGGATGCCTTCGCTCCTGTCAGTGCAGTCATCTTTGGCGACGTCATCGCCGGTGTCCCTTACTGGGATGTAGTCGAGGCTGCCTCGTCTGGTGGGCAACTTATCGGTCCGCTCGGAGCTGTCGACGGTCGCAATGCCTGACTCGGAGCTTTCAAGGAACCTGTTTTCGTTTATGATTGAATCAGCGAGTTCATCATCTGCGTCCTCGTCAACCGCGTGTTCAAGTCGTCCGGCCGTCTCCGCGGGTGGGGTAGTATCCGTACAAGGTTGCGCGATGTGCACTTTACACAGTTGTCCATACACGGCAGTAGCCCGTCCGTCCTGGTCAGTGCGGCAGTCGCAGGGCTGCACCTCCCGCAATGACAGGCCGCGGCCGATCTCCGTCTGGGCTGCGTGATCGAGCCCGGCGGAAGGGGTGGGGGCAGGGGCAGGGGCGGATGGGCGGTCCCAGCCTGATATAGTGGAGATGGGTCGCTGCTGTCTCTCGGCGGGGTCGGTGATATTGTCGGCCCGCCGCTGCTCGTAGTGCTCATACATTTGAGCGAATTGCAGCTTGAATTCCTCGTACGATACCTGAATACGAATGTCATGATTAAAACAGAATGCCGATATATGTGTCTCCCACAGGAGCTCGATGGCGTGGTAAATAGCGTGTATGCTTTAAGAAGGTTAAGCACATTTAGCCGTTGAATCTGTATCATCTACAGTCCGCGTAATAGTATATGAGCCGTTTTATTTTAAAAACCATATGCAAAGTCCAATTCCGCTTAGTATACAAGTTGCTCTCATTTTTACTTTCCAATTTAATGCCATCACAAACAAAACCAAACCTTATATCCCTCACCTTAGAGTGCACTATTGCCAGTGTGTCGACCCACACTCGCCAGCCGCCGTACTCATGTTTGATGGCGTGGTGCAGCAGCATACGGAACAGTGAATACACCATGTCGGAGATCTTTTGCTCTTCCGCATTTTTAGGATGGATATATGCCATCGCTATCAGCCATTCCTGTAATTCGAGTCGTAAAGAAAACAAATTACTTACTGCATCATTAAGTACAATTTTGTATCCCACCAAAATAATTATCTTGTAAAAAATATAAGACATCAAAAAACTCCCATCCCTTATGTAATTATGTTACAGCGTATGTACGTACCTGCCAGACGGACATTTGTAGCACGGTGCGCCTATTCTCGCGGTTATTGCTGCAAAGCAGCGTCATGTCTGACAGGAACAGCTTCTTCACCTCCAGCAGCTGTTCCGTTTGTTTCGATTGTCTAATCAGCGTCGCCACCACTTTCAGGATCACTGTTAACCAATCGCCGTTACATTTTAGTTAATATTTATCTATATACACTTCAGCACGGGTGCCATGACGAACTCAATAACCATTTTGTCTACGTGTTCAGTCACGAGTGATATACTGTATGAGCACACCCGGTAAAAGTGACATTTGGGTGTGGACAAAACGCTTCTCGAGTTTGTCGTGCTACGCGTGCAGGTTTATATATGTTGGTGATCAGGAAGCACTGACTAGGATTCTCCAATCGGAAGTGTGGCTGTGGCTCGGGATGGCTGGTGTAGAGGATCTGCTGTCCCACGTGCTCGGTGAGCAGCTCGTACAGCGCGTTGTACACCGGCAGCGCCAGTCCCTCACCGCTCGCGCCCAGCCTCGTCGCCAGCAACGTGTACAAGTTGTGCGGCGACATCACGTCGTATTTGCGTCTGATACAATACATTAAACCTACATTAATCTAGTTTCACACTACCTATACTATTCAACAGAACTCAATGTATTACATAGACTAGACATCAAAGCTATAAAGCTATTCACAAGATTTGATAGGAAACACCAACGATGAACGTGATTATGAGTGATGAATGCTGTAATGATCCGATCCTTGTCATCTGTACACTGAAAAAGTATGTCTAACAATAGAGTGACAAATACCATTCACGACTGACTGTTTAAAAATTGTTGCAAATAAAAGGGATCGAAAATCAAATAGCATATTGCCGAAGGACGTGAATAATATGAATTTCGTCCTTCGGCGTTGTCGATTAAGATTAATATAAGTATTACTTGAACCAGGTAAAAATGGATTGTACGAAACATTTGTTACATAATAACAACTGTTTATTGATTTTGACATAATAAAGAAACAAATCTTTTCACTTATTCTTGGTAATTAAAATACAAACAGAAACTCACTTGTGTGTACTTCTACTAAGGAAGAAACCTAGAAGTTTTAATGCTTGCAGTCTTATGAGCTGACTCTCTGAAGACAGCAATTTGAAAATTGTTCTGACACCACCCTGAAATAGTTCATAATATTATTATTAGTTCAAATAAGATATAAGGAACTTATATACTTAATACGGGTGTAGACAGTAAACGAAAATAAATAGATTTTTTGGTAGTGTTTTATATACTATTACTGATTATGAAAAAAAACAAATATTTTATGCTCGTTACGTGACACGTAACCACAAACAGCGAGTGACGTCTCGGCGTGACGGTCACGTCTTTCTCACTCATATCAGAACTTAGGGAATTCAATCTATGCATACATAGAATGAAATTTATTTCAAAGTGCCGTGACGTCGTAGCGACGCCATGACATGAGTGGCAATTTCTCGGGAAAATTTGAAAATTACATTTATTTTTAGATTTTAACTTATAATATGTATGATATTTTAAAAAATAAAAATATCTATAAAAGTAGTCTACACTCCTATTATCAAACAAACTCACTTTTGCGTCGAATGCAGGCACCATTGAGCTCGGATGTTCTGACATTAGTGAGATCAACATTTGTAAAACGTCATGCAAGTTTTCATCCTGAAAGACATAGGAAATTCCTTAAATACATTTTTCATCCAAAAAAAGATCGTTTATTTGTCGTCATTGTCTATGAACAGCAATATAAAAAATATTTAATGTCAAAAAAGATACACCAACAAAAAAGTATGTAGTTATTAAAAACTTTAGTATAACTCGAAAAAGGTATTCAGAACATTGACTTTAAGTCTTAACCCTTCCAAAAAACAATATTAAAATTACCAGGATGACCATACATACCTCATGCATAGTAGTTAAATAGTTGAGTATCGACTGTAGTTCGTCCTCTTTCACGCCGTTGCCGATCATGATAAGTTGTTTTAGAAAGAGGAGGATATAGGCGCGTATTGTTAGTATGTCCTTGTGAGCGGGGCGTGGCCCTTCTGTGGGAGTGAATAGAAAACTCTTTTGAACAATCATATCTTAGTAATATTTTCTAAAATCGAGCGCTAATTTTACTCATTTATAGACAACTGACTTTTGAAACTAAGAAACAACTTCAAAAAGGAATTTTATTTTCCACTTTATAGCTTGTTTCTGTGAAGTAAAACCAAATTATTTGACACGATAAAACTTTGTTATGGCGGTTTATAAAGTTATAAATTAAATTTAGTACAATAACTTTCACAGATTTACTGGTGATGACGATTTAACTTTATAAAACTGAGCTTTTAGATAGTCGACCTGATATAATCTAATAAGGATCTTAGTAAGTAATTATTAATCTTCATGGTCCTAAGTATCAAATCGTTTGGTAAAGAAGCAGTCGTTAATATTATAATGGCTTCCGTATCATAAAGTTTTCTTTTGACAGAGACAGATCAGGGGCCACAAATTCGATGTCGTTTAGTCCAATTATTATCGTCGTTTCGAATCGCGAAACAATTTGGGAACGACAGAAATAGATTACTCTGTTAATGGCGTATCTTGTAGAAACATAATAGTTGAAAATACATTTAAGATTTTGAACATCTGATAATTTAATTTATCGGTAAAGAGAAAAGTTTAGTAATAGGAAAAGTTTACTCTCTCGTGGGTTTAGTTCCAAAATATTACTCTTTTTACAGATTATAATAAGAAGTTTCGTAATAGAAATTAAAGATGAGCAGAAAATATTGGGCATATAATTGAGAAACAATACTTAAGCTTAAACACGCTTAAGCTTTTTAGGCGTTTTACGGTTATTCTCAAATCTTCAAAAGGGGGGAGATAGGACAACAATTAAAACATTTTATTAAATAGGCATGAATAATATCTTATTTTAAAGATAACTGGATGTGAGCATTGAAACAACACTGCTAAAATTGTTAGTCAGAAATTCTTTTACTTAAATATTTTTAGGAATATAGGGAGCGAGTGAGTGTTCCCAATAAAAATGACACGAAAATAATGTGTACTATATATACGGATGTTAAAATTCGACGCATTCAAACCAGGACTCCGCGTTTTTTTAAATTACTTAGTGATATTGGAAGATTATTTCTTATAGTTATAATTAATATCAATAAAAGATGTGTTAGAAATTATAATGATACTCGTACTGTATAATGGCAGTTGCCAAATATGTTTACATACATTATGCAGCTACCTATTTCTAATTGATTAAAAAAATGAAATTATATATTTAATTCGTAATCCTAACACCAATGTTGGGATTATGAGTTCAGAATATAAACTAACTGGATATGCCCAAAAATATTATATTGAAGAAATGTGCCAAATGCCACATTGATTGTGAAATTATGAAGAAATATACAATGCCCACTGAGCAAATCCACAACGTTTCATCAGAAAGGCGATATATAAAATACCGGGAATACAAAAAAGATGCCAACCAAAATTTATTAATTGTACCACAGAATGAGTTTTTACAAAACGTTGAGAAGATGAATGCCATTTTTCGCAGTTTAGTAAAGAAAACATTAACTGTACAATAGCGGAATTAATAAAAAATAGACGAGATCCCTTTTAATGCTCCGTGACCGTGTTTCCCGTTAGTTTACTTTAAAAAAGAAAGTATTTTTAAGAATGAGGATTTTTATAGCGTAATATGCAATCATAAAGCGTTCAAAACCTGTCGTAACAGACGAAAATACTTTTCAGTGTGTATCTTGTAAAAATAATATAATATAATTTTATTACCGACTAGTTTTGTTGAGAAGGTAACCCTGTCGCTCCAATGCAGCGTAGGTATTTATTTCTAGAATTCGCTCAAGTTTCGCTACTCTATTATTCTGTGCACTTACCGACTTTAAGCAGAGCTTAATAGTTAGGGCATGCATTATGCAGCGCCTTGCGTTGCACTCTTTGGTCACAAGAGATGTGTCAAGAAATAAAATCAATTTAATTGTTTGAAATTATAGATTTAAATAAAATAGTTAATATATTCAAATGAAGATATAAACCGATAGTTTGTTTGAGTTTTAGAACTTAATAGAAAACTTTGACGACTTGGGTCCTTGTTTAAATACAAAAAAAGTATAATTAACAAGTATAAATAGAACAAAAATTTTTATATTTTTGTTCTAAATAATCTGTTCCGATTTCACTCACCTATCCCTTTAGGTGTGATGCCACTCTTCGTTCTAGGATTCACGACCCAGTAGTAAAACTTCAGCGTGTGTACAGTCTGTAAGACTGTGCTAACCCTTCTGACGCTGCCGTATATGTGAGCATCGGCGAGGAAATCAGTAGCCAAATAACAGTAGAGCCTCGCCTGCACAGCCGCTGGTGTGTGGATCCATAGCGCCGGGTTGAATAATATATGATCTAGGAGCTGCCAAGTGAGGAAAGATTGGCAGAAAGACTAGAATTAATATTAACCTTTTACTGCCCGATGGTTGATAGCGTATGTTCTCTTGCTTTTTACTCAAATGACAGATTTTTAATCAAATTTATAACAAATACCTAGTAAAATACTATGATAATATAAACCTGAACAGCATTTTTTGAAATACTACTATATTACGTATATTAACTAACATTTCAATTAATTTGAAACGTGAAAAAACGACACCAGTTATCTTCAATTGTTATTATTACTGTACAATTTCAATTTCAATATTTCCTTTTTTCATTAAGCTGTTGTTGCATAAGCTGTGCTAACTTAACCCATTGCCTCAGTGCATTTGATGTAAAAATCAGTGATAACTTACGGTGAATGTTTTGCACATCATCGCGTATTTATTGTGGATATTTATGCAACACCCATAGTATAGTACTTTATAATAATAAAGCTTGGCAAAGTAGACAGTGATTAATATAGGAAGTGTTTAAATATCAACAGTGTTCAATTCGATAAAGTATATGTATAAAAAAAGGACAAAAGGAATCTTCGGATAGTTTGAAACATTATCTATCCAAGTTTTTATTTTATTATAATGGGTTCAACCCATTATAATAATTGTTCAACTAATTACATGTTTCAATTGCCGTTCTGCGGACGGCTAATCGGTAGGAACATAGGACCATGATATAAATGTAATTGATTTATATTAAACACGTATTTTCCATATAATGTGGTAGACCTCAAAGGAGGACTACCATCGGTAGATTATTAATTAATTCAGAATAGCGATCTACAATTATGTCTTTAGATCGCTATTCTGATACAAAGTTATTACAGTTTTAATTCAAATCGCGATTCTTAATAGGTTTTTCAACATTTCCACGTTTCTGTTAAAAAATCTCGTACATAGGTTTACGTAATTCAAGACTAAACTTATTTTCGTTCAATTTTCCGAGTGTGCCGGCAGTTTTTTTGGCGTGCAGTCTTTTCGATTTAATCTCGATCGACTTCTTCGCTTTGTTCATTTGATAAATCGTTTGAAGTACGTATTCATAAAACATGTTTTCCGTGAGTGTTTATAAAACTTGCGAAAGAAGTCAAAAAGAGAAAACAATTATCTGTACCCTCAGCATGAAAAGTGTCGGTTACGAATTAAATTAACATCGATTTAAATCTATATTGGTATTGCATAACGGCACCTACCTTCGTAAAGAGAATTTTAATAAAAGCATTTGATATCTATTTGTTTTAGGTTTTTTTTTTTTTTATATTCTATTCGCACTTTGTAATTATAGTGCTGAGGGTACACAGATGTTGAATAGTTATTATCAAAACAGCTATAAAGTGTCGATGTCACAACAGGTAGATAAATATATTTTGAAAGATGAACTACAAACTGTTCTGTAGAAAACAAAAAGTAACGTCTTTTGTAACGTAACTGTATAGTAACATAACGTTTTGTTTTCTTCCTTTACGATTTGGACCATATTGTAAAATCGACCCTTAAATATTGCTAGAGGTAACATTCAGCTCGTATAGTCAGCAACGAAGGCATTAAAATTGATACTCAGTTATCCTTTATCAACTATTTTGTCACTCCATCTTTTTAAAATAGCTACGGTTTCGTAATAGAAAATTACAAAATTTCGGCTCTATCTAAAGGCATTTTAAAAATACTTTCGCTTCTACTCTAATAAACTTTGCTTCTAATAGTAATATGAAATTGCTTATGAACCGTTTTAATTGTATTCTGATAATTATTTGTTTCGATAAATTGCTCGTAGCCTTTTTTGCTGACTAATGGAATCAGTTAAAATAATTTTACGAGTTGCAGTAGTTTCATATAAATTACTACTTTAACAGTTTTTCTCTTTACCAAATAATATCTAAAATATTTATGATGATAGTTGTTTGTATAACAAATAACCGTTGCAAAATTAGGTCATACCGAAAACATTTTAAGCATTAATGAAAATTCGTTTTTAAAGTACGTCTCAATGTTTTATTCATATGCCATCTCGTAAAGTTATATTAACGAGCCGTAAAGTGTAAACAATGGGGAGGGGAGTGTACTGTGTAGTAACTTGGAAATCTTTAGACGCAAAGGACGGTCGTAAAATACGACGTAAAGTGGCCAATTATGTTTAGGGCTGGGTTGGTCTTAGTCCGTAACATTAATATTTGGCAATCCTATCAAAACAGTATCGATAGAATTCGGGTAATTTAATACTTTAGCATGGACAGGGAGTATGTTTTTCCATTATGAAGTTTTATACAAAAACGCAATAGACTTGGCGTTTTTGTTGTTGCTTCAAATGATGTTGTAGTATTTTTTTTACAATATATTGAATCATGTTTATAACTATTTTAATTTTAGAATGAAATTAATTTAAATTACAAAAACGAATGAAGTGCTTCTTATTGTGCTCAAGTGATGTGCGTAATGAACATTAAATAAACTAATAAAGTAAGTTTATTATTGATCCGATTGTGTATTGTATTGTTAAACTTCTCAATCTAGTCTAAATATCATTAAATTTGGAGTATGTACACTATGAAATTGCTATTTCCAGCTTTATTTGAACTACGTTCCACCTCGCAAATATTTGTTTCTGTAATTGGCATCGTTTAATTTGTGTTGCAGCCATAGTCCTCGAAAACGTTACTTTCATCTTAATTATTAAAAAAGAAAAACAGAGGACATTTCTATTAGAACACGAAGGAGTGTACAGAGTGTTTGCTGGTTTAGAGAGTTTGCATTGTTTAGGGACTAGCAAATATTATTTTATCCAAAAGGTACAAAATTTCCATTGTATATTTAGTGTGCAAAGGCATTTTATACAGAAGCTGATTATGTTTTCAATATTGTACGATCTCTACTGTTTTGATAGTGGTAATTATTCATTGCTAGTGTTTTTAGTGAGCGAAAAATTAAAATCTATATAGACATACATACCTGTTTTAATAGGAGATCAGAATTAGGGGAGCAACACGTCACTAGATGTTTCGTCAGATGTAAGAACGAAGCGAGCGTGTCCGGTGTGAGGTGATCCCGACTGCACCGCTGCATCATGTGCGAGATCACCAGGAACCCACGACATTGCAGCATGTGCTGTTGCACCGTGCTGCATGATTCCACCAATGAACATACGAAGCCGAGGAGCTTTGAACTGAAAATAGTGTTTGTTATGTAGTTGAAAATACTCACAACACATACGTTTTCACTATATTAGGATATATTTTGGATAAAACTAAAACTTAATTTGAATCATGTAGGGTAAGTCATTGAGTTTTAACTACTTATTAACAATGAAGTAATATAAATATCTTCTATATGATTTGATTGTATAATTTAAAGAATATCTAAGCAAAGGAACATGAAACTAAATAAAACATACCAATAAAACATGAGAGGAATACTTTTGTGGTGATTTCAAATGTGACCGGGAAACGAAAAAATCGATTTCAAGGGAAGAACAAAATTGCCCCTTACAAAATATATTTATTTCAAGTGGATTATTTATAATCATGTTTAGGTAAGAAACTTTCAAACATATAAAATCTAAGTCAGGTCAAAGCAGAATTCGCTGAAAACATGCTCAAACATGACTAACGAGACCTTAACGCGTTTCCAAACGAATGATCAAAGCAATTTTTTAATCTAAAGAATTGAATATGCCTACGATTCACAGAAATCGAACGTCAGCTCGTTAGAAGATAGAAATATGTGTAGCAAAACGTATAAAATCTCGCATACCTTTGAAGTGAGACGTAGGTTTATCGTATTTCGTAAAAGGAGGACGTCTTTGAACTTAAAATAATAATCACATCGTTATAATTTCAGACGTATTATTTTGCCAATGAAATAAAAATTGATGTCGCAGGTAAACTATTTTAGTAAGGGAGAGCGGAACGATCAACATACGAAAATAGGAGGTTTTACCCCAAAGATTTCACTTAGGTTATATGAATTGATTTATTTAAATTATACGGAATTTACTCACTTCTCTACATTAAGCCCCTTGAAATTTTTTTGTTAATGGTTAGAAGGTCCTTTTAAAATTAATAGTTGCTGGAGACTGTACCGAAAAACTAAGTTATATCGTACCTACACATAAAAAATAAAAAGCAAAAGAGTGAAAAACAATTTTAAAGGAGGAGGTTTTTTGTGTAATTTATAACCGATAATTACTTCTACAGCAGATCCTTAAATAATTAAATCGCTTTTAAGATAAGCATAAAGTGTATAGTTGGTTCTATTTTTTGACAAAAAAAAGCATTATTTTTAGAGATACTTATTTTTTTTTCTCTAAGTATCCTTACAAATATTAAATATCCTTTAGCGAAAGTCCTGGAAGATTTATTTGTTTGCACATTTATTATTTTCAAAAGACATTTTACCTATATAAACAAAATTTCTCATTCGGTTTCTATAAAATTTTAATATGATTACGGCTGCTATGATTACGGTGCCATAAGCTGAATTATAAAAAGGAATTATAAAAATCGATAAACTATTCTCGGAATTTTAAAGTCGGTTAAAAATTACTCGGCGCAAAGTATTAAACCAGCACCCCTTCTCATTGCCAAACTGTTTAGATGTTACAGAAGCAATATAATCTATCTCTTAATGTTGACCTACTGATATGTGCATCGCCACTAGCCCCCATACTTTTAGCTCCGCTCTCACCTAATCCACAACCATATAAGCTTTCAAATAAATTGTAATAAAAGCACAAAGCAGTCTAAAAATTTTAGTAACAAATTGGAATTCAATTTCGATGATTATTTTGTAACTAATGACAACATCATTTAAAAGGGCTTTTTCGCTAGTCTAACACGAATTTAAAAGGCATACACAATTAATGTTACGAAAGATAATTTAATAAGCGGTCCCGTTGCTTAAATTATAAATTGTACCCGCAAAATGTCCCCGATAAATCTCGACGGGTTCGCGGAGTCGACACCAGGCAATTAGGAGTTCCGAGGAGTTAGTTCATAGCTTCTATTAACCAACCACCTCAGAATGGGGCCGACTTTCAGGGGCGAATGCGAGCCAACAGTGAAAGTGCATTTAGCCGACTAATACGACCGAAGCTACTTGGAATATTAATGAATAGCCTTAGTGCTGGAGACACGCAAATTCTCTCTAAACTGAGTGTACTTGTAATTTAGCATCGGTAATCCCATCCAAACTTAATTCAACCGTTAAGTGAGAACCCAAATACTATACTGTTAACGAGAACCGAGAAACTTTATTTAAGCAAATGCCACACATCCTTTATAGTTTGTGGGGGTTTAACTCTAATTCTGATGTTCGTACTTACGTACCAGTTTCAAAACTTTACTATTTAGGGGAGTCGGAACAAAAGCTCCCGTTTATTATATGTAGTACTATAGTACGTAGGTATGTGATACCATGACAACTGTAGATCTGACCTTTGCCAGACAACTATAGACGGCTTAGATTAGTGATGCCTACTCGTAAACTTAAATATTGTTCACCGTCTAGCTAAGCTTTGGATCAACCTTAATTAATACAAACTGTAGTTCCAAGCGACGTTGTCTGTAGTAAATTTGAACACTTAGAACCTTGTAATCTTGGATTACTGTCTCATAATATACCAATGTTCTGTTCAGTGTAATATGCCGATATGCTATAAAAATGTAGTCGACACAACGAATGGATATTTAAAAGGAACAACAAAAAAAAACATATAATTAACGGATTTTTATTTTTAACTGACTTCAAATCCAAAAGGAGGAGGTTTTATGTTCGACGGCGATGTACATGTTTTTTTTATGTAGGTATGTTCACTCATATTTCCGCCAATTTTTGACCGATTTTCAATATTATTTTTTATTTGCCAGCTTATTGGACCGAGATGATCCCATTTAAATTAAGTTTTTCCTTTTATAACAAAACAAAATACATTTTTCATGACATATCACCTATTTTTAGATGATATGTTTATTTCAGTTAAGCGTATTTTAAATTCATTCAAAATCCGGATTGAAGATTTTTTATTGATTTTTTCTTGAATTGTGAACCTGTTTAAGTGAAATTTAAAGTGTTTTAAGTAACGTTTAAGGTGGTTTAAATATGGTTTGAGACGTGCTTAACTAAAAATTCTCAATTTAGAATCCGGTTGTTATTCAAGAAAATGAATGCTATTGAATTCGAGCGAATATCGTTTAATTAATAACCTATAGAAAACCTCCGTCCGACTTCGACAGCATTTTCTTGTCGTCGTAATAAGTCGCTATTTAAAATTAAAAAGATGAGTAACAAAATAAAAAAATCATTTAATATAATAATCATGCGACACAATATTTATAAAGAATTGATTAAGTCGCAGCGCGAAATGGACAAAAGACCTGTCAAGCGTCTCACGGAAGCAGCGACGAATCATTCGTAGAGCGAGTGCGAGCTCCATAAAAATCGTACTAGGAGAACATACCACAACATGGGGTCTCTCTTTGGTTCCGACGCGGGCGCGTCATGGGGTAGGTCAAGTTGCGCGAACAACGGGAACAAAACTTGAACCCCGCCTATTGAATTCAAGGCGCTGTGAATTGAATGTGTGACCACCGCCTTCACTTCCTGTGAATTAATATATTTTTTAACAGTTTAACCGTTTCTTTTATGTGCAAACAAATGTCATGGTAAAATTAACTATAAAGTACCAGGGACGCATAAACAGAAAAGAGCTTACCTGCAGCATTAAAGCATGGGGTGTGTGAACGAAGTATGAAACATTTCCTTTGGGCGCCGATTGTAAACATAGTTGTCCATCTGTAGCCACGGGGTTGTACATGAAGACTATCGCCGACGAAAGTTTGCCGTCGTATAGTACCTGATACGTAAAAACAAAGACTTTAAAGTATAACATACAAATAAAACGAATTTAGCAAGTGAGTACTAGGGTGAATCAAAAAGTTACACTCTAATGATCTTATTAATGTGATAAAACAATAATCATTACAAAACGCAACACCTGACTATACCATTATATCTAAGAGTGATCGTGTTGGTACTTAATAAAACATTCTTGATGAAGCAACAAGTAACATGCAAACTTACATAAATCTAATAAACAACTACATTTAAGACGTATTATGTGACACATGCTAATATAAACACTAAATATACCACAAAACATTAAACAACAGAAAATTACATTACTCCCACACAGTAATTATAAAGATATCTGAAAAGGATTTGATGTATGGAGTTATATATGAGATATACATTGTTATTAAGGGTGGTTGTTATTATTATTGGAACGAGAGACAAAATGTATTATTATAGCGAATTTTTTCTTTCACAATGCCAAATTAATCAAATTAAAATATTTGAAAAATTCGAGACTGGTACCTATGATAGATCCAAATATATACCAAGGTTAGCTTTAGCGTAACATATAATTGGTCATTAATTATGTTACAAGAACTCGCTGCAGACTATGATCTCATGTACACATTGAATATTGATTGAATTGTTGCTAGAATCTAGACAAAAAATTATAAAAAGTCAGTTAAAAAATGCAAAAATAAATTCAGTCAAATAAATCACAATACTTGCATTAAATAACGGAAACCTTTAAAACTTTTAAGGGTTTCCCTGTAGATATTCTTACGAGCCCAAGGAATAAAATACAACAGCTTGCAGTTTTCCAATAAGAAAGTCATTCTTTCAATTTCCAAGTAAATACATTGAAAAAATATATCGATTACTCACACAATAGGCACAAAAGGTCTGTATCGAACAGCACAATGCTTATCAAATCGTAAAAGAGCAGAGGGACTATTTGTGTGTTCCTTTTATTTGTATTCTCATTGTAAGATCCTTTTTTTCTAAAAGATACCAAATAAAAACTTTGAAAAATAGTTGTTGTAAAAAATATTGTAATTGTGCTGCAGTTAAAAAAAAATGGAGCTGATTTTATCGACGTGTTATTTGCTTTATTAATATTTTATAACATTATATAAACAACGTCAGAAATAAATAATTTGGTGAACATAAGGACTTTAATATTATCTCACTGTCAGACATATTAAGTCAGTTTAGTCACATGTTAAGCTACATTATATGCCGTGAATATAGGCTATATTTTATCCCGAAAACAGCAAATATAGGGATGAAAATGGGAGTGGAAGTTTGTATAGGGAATTAAAACGTTACCATAGTAACCATTGTTTACTATTCAATTTGTCATTATAATAATACTGTGTCATGATATGAATCGATATTCAAATAAATAGTTCCGTTCCGGGCGAAGTCGCTGACGGAAAGCTAGTATTAAATAAAAAAGAGAAAAAATGTCTTTTCATATTCGAACAAACTTTAAAACCTTTTTGACGGGAACTTGATTTCCAAATGTAATAACTTTTGTAATTGTGAATTATAACTGAAGGAACAAACGGAATGGCATATTGAAACAGGTGAACAAAATCCGTTTATTATTATAAACGTGAAATTTTCTTTGTTTGGATGTTTGTCCGTCGATCACGCTAATTACGAAGGCTGCGGCCGGAGGATCGAAAAAAAACCGATTTAATTATAATTATTTATTAAAATAATGTTACAAAGTATTTTATTAAATCTAAAACTTATGTTAGGTTCGGACGAAGTAGGTACCGAGAATGAATGTTCTAAAACTGCGATGGTGACATCGAAGCGCGAAGCACGAGGCGTCGACTCAGCAGTCACATGTCGTAGACCGATGTTCCATAATGCTGAATTCGCAATTACACAATTATAATATTTTATTGTGTAAATTATTAGAATAAGCGACGTAAGCTCGTTCGTGGTAGTATAGGCATGTAACACCTCCACCCGCAGATCAGCAACTATTTGAGCACTTTGAGCGAAAATGTTGATGGTAGAGATTTTTCTCGCTTATTTTCTCTTATTTCTTTGGGATCTTCATATTTGGGCATCTTCGCGTTATCTTCAATGTCGTTGCTGGATGCTGGATTGTTCCGAGGCTGACAGCGTCTCCGGAGTATAAATATTATAGCGAATATGATGGCACAGCTTATTAGTATATAAAAAGGCATCGTAGTATGATAAAGGGTCTTGAGGTGCAATGGATGATTGATTTGCAGTGGTGTGTCTACTGACATTCTCTCCTGGATGCTGCGAAGTTTTCCTAGGTCGATCGCGTTCAATTTAAAGTGTGTAAGGGTTGTAGCCGTTGTTTTGTAGTTATCTGGTATCTCCATAAGTTTTACTGGTTGACCTTGAACTTCATCATTGGTGTTAATAATAGTAAACTCTTTTGTATGAATAGAGCATTTCTTCGGAATCGTGGCAAGGTAGCTTCCTTTGAGAACAACGTGATCTTCGCGGCCACACTGCAACTGGACCACTGTAGATTTAGGAAATGCAAGTGTGTAGTGGCGGTCATCGATTTTCTCCATGGCTTCCTTTTCTAGTGTAATGGACGTCGGGTTACATGATCTATCTATAGATTTGTCAGAGATTAACTTATAAATACAGTCTGGTTTACGTAGTTGATGGTTTACATTTTCCTCACAGAGATAAATCTGGCCGTACTTCGGGCATTCAGCCTCTATGTACATGGAACGTAACTCGTGTGTTGCTATATAGGAATAAGGAGGAACTATAATGGTGTGGTTATTATTAGGAACAATACATAATTTATATAGTTGATAAATATCTGGGGAGAGTATGGGAATTTTAAATATTATAACTATGCGTTTATCTGTATAATATGAACCTGTCTTTATAATGTCATAATATTGTCTTAGTTCTAATTTTAATAACTGATTACTACTATAAGTATTACCTAACTTATTCATAATCAAACCTCAACTATCTATATCGATCATCGAGTGATGAGTACTGGACATATGGATAAAAGCTAACGTATTTTCTATTCTTATTAACTCATCAGATAAATCTTGAATATTATTACTAATTATATTTAATATTTGACCTACTTTCATAAATTTAATTAAACTATATCCCACATATGAATTTTTATCTAAAAGAGATTCTATAGCTTTACTCATTTTGTCTTGATTATCAGTTATTTGCGATAGAATATTACTATTATTAGTAATCCATTCTTTACAGATGCTAATGTGCTTATTTAATTTAGATGTAATTTTATCCTCGTTATCTTGTATTGATATAAGAGCATCATTATATAATTTTGCGTCTGTGTAATCGAGGTTGCCTGTTATACTTTTTATGACTGTCCCTAACCCATCAATAAGACCCCTTTTGACTCGAGCAGGCTCTAAACTAGATAACTGCTTAGCTGTTTTTATTAATTTGTTACGCAAATGTTCTACCTGGAATTCGTACAGCACATATGTATCGTTTTTTACATTATTTTGGAAGTCATAAAGCTGCCTTTGTACATGATTCAATTTTTCTTCAATATCGGTTAAGTCTATGTAATGAATAAAAGCATGGTAATGTGAGATAAATCGTGTGGGTCCTAATTTGAATGGTAAAAGTCCTGGTCCATTGTCTAAGCTTTCAAGTCGGATCTCCTGGGCCGACGTCAGGTGGATGATGAGAGTCAGAAGAGTCCTGTAACAATTTATTGGATTTAGGGACACGTTTCAGTCGGGATTTCGCGATAGGGCCTTTTTTTCTGGTGGTATATACATGAATTGGTAAATCAGCTAAAACGGTGTCATGAGTATATCTGGGTGCTATTTTTTGCCGGGAAGCTGTGGGGTTATTAACGAATATCTGTTGCTGAGGCTGGTATTGGACCTCCGCTTCTCGATCCTTATTTCTATTCTCTATGATTTTAGTTCGCTCATGCAAGGATGATTCGTTTATAATCTCATAAACCATTTTCATTTTATCTTTATGAGTCAGTACGTATTGCTGCATTAGATGTTCTGTCATGTCAACGTCTAGTGGGTCTCTGGGGTCAAAGTGTCCTCTTATGATGTCATATGGTCTACATTTTGTAAAACTATGTATGGATGAATTGTATGCTAATATGGCGTATGGCATTAAGTTAACTACAGGTTCATTTTTATGTTGCAAGTTGAGTATTCGAAGGTGTTCTAAAATGGTGGAATGGAATCGTTCTATGATTCCATTATCGTTTGGACAGTGAGGTAAAGTTTTATGATGATTAATTTTATGGAGTCTAATAAATTCTGAAAATAGCTGATTGCAAAATTCTGTCCCATTATCCGTCACTATTGTTAGTGGTAAACCATGGTGTGTACAAAAACGTAATAAACTTTGTAATATACTCAACGCGGTACCATCTCTTAGATGGTATGCTTGACCATATTTGGAGAAGGCGTCTACAAATGTTATATATTTTTCATTTTGAGCTGTGAACAAATCTAAATGTACTATTTCTAATGGTTTAGTAGCAGGAGGAACGATATTAAATTGTGGTCTGATAGGATTTCTATCATATTTACTTTGGCCACATATTGTGCATTCATTTATATACTTTGTGATTTGATCTCGCATCTTAGGCCAGTAGTATCTACGAGAAAGAGCGAGATAGCTTTCATTAATTCCGCGATGATTGGTTTTGCCTTCATGATAGTGTCGGATAATGTCTTGTTGACGCATGTATTCTTTAACATCTTCTAATTTTACTTTAGATAAAACGAGACTCATTGCAGAACTTTTAAAATGTTTTTGTATAATAGGCACTATAGAGTACATACCTAAGGGTGGATTTATCTGTATGGCGGTCTTTATTTTAGGGTTAACGTATTCTTTAATTATATTTATTATATCTTGCTCTAGGTTGGACTCTGATACTTGAACAACTATTCTTGTATGAGTGTCAAATGGTTTAATGACGGAGGGGCGTTTCTTTACATCGTTTACTAT